TGCTAGGACACTTCGTGTAGTGGTAGCTAGGGGTCAGGAGGACTTATATGAGAGGGGAGTGACTCGTTATCCATCTTTGGAGGCCGGGCCTCACAGGTAAGTGCCATGTGACCTGGGTAAGCCCGTGGGAGGTTGCTTGGTGCTTCATGGCCTGTTGGGGGTGTGCTGGGTTCTCTTCCTCTTCTCTGCGGTCTTGGTTGTGTGTGTGAGCTTGTGGCATTCTTTCTCACCTGATGGATGGATGGATGATGTATCTACTCTAAATGACATATCTTTCTACGGTGCATTGTCTTTTCATTTCTGAACGGCTGTAGAAGTAAGTTCTTGCTGAAAGTTGTTTTTTCCTTTCCAGTACGGTAGAGGCAGTTTGGGACCGACTTGGTACCCCTATCACGTTGGTCCTGGTCCACGGCCTACTTGGGACCACTCGGGACCCGCTGGGACCAGGCCCAACGGGACAGGACCTTTTGGGCCCAGATCTGTTGCCGCCAGTGCATTTCTTTGCTGTGCTGGATTTGGGGGATATACGGACAGCAAGGGCATTCCTTTCAAGGGGATCTTGACTGGCCTTACCGCATGTTAGCACATACTGCCCCGCGTCTGACTCGGCGATCATCTGCACCCCTCGAAATCTCCATTGCTGCAGATTAGTCTTCTTCGTCTGATTTATTGTGATGCATGTCCCCTGTCAGTTTAGACAAGAGGGGATCTCCAACTGATCTGATCGGGCCCGTTCTATAAATCAGACCTCTCTGCTGTTTTATTTTTTTTATTATTTGTTTTATTTATTCTTATGCTGTGTGCCATGCTAAGTCCAAATGATTCGCCGCTCCGGCTAGGAGTTCTACCTTCTTCTCTGAGTGGTTTTCTGTTTGTTTCTTTTATCTGAACTATCTATGTCCGGTATCGAGACGCGTGCGCAGACAGCGAAAAGAGAGGGAAGGGAGAGAGAAGGTGTGCTGTTTGAGAGTGTGAGAAGGGGTAAGAGGAGTGTTCGTCCAAACGTAAGGAGAGAGCGGACCCCTCGTGAGAGTTCTACTGACACCCCTTCCTCCGGCATGGCGGTCATCACATCTGACCAATGGCAGGCCATGCTGGACGCAGCGGACGAGAGCCAGAAACCGTTCTTTCAAAAACTGTATGATGATGTCGTGCAGAGGGAAAGGGAGGCAGCGGCAACAGCTAGAGCCGCCGACATTGCTGATCAGGTGGCTCTCCTTCAGATCCCGGAAGCCAATGCTGACCGGTTCCAGGAGGAACTAGCTGCTGTTGTAGCAGCCTTGGTCCGACTTGAGTCTCGTATGACAACACTTGAGCAGCGGAACGAAGAGCTGCAGGCTAAAGTAATTAGCCTTGAACAGTCCCAGCTGTCTGCCTCCCGCCCTCCTAACCCTCGATCTGCTATAATCCCAACCTCTCAAGCCAACACAGCCCTCGTGCCAAGGGCAAGCGGAATTGTGGCAAGCGCAGGAACCGGCGCCAGCTCCTCGAGCGGCAGCACCGGCAGTTCTGCGCTGGTCATGGTCCCGAATGCAGGGACATCAGCCCAAAACGCCGCAGTCCTTACTGGCGTTCAGTACAGCGGTCCCATGGTGGACAAGCGGGCGGCCACGCTGCCGTCCAAGTACGACGGGAAGGCATACATTACCTCTTGGATTAGTGCCATGCGGTCATACTTCGAGGTCATGCGGACACCGCAGGAGGACCGAAGTATGATCATGGGGACTAATACTGAGCCCGCCGTACGAAACCACATTGAGCTCCAAGCTGTCGCAGCAGGCTATGAACGCATAGACCTGACTGAATGGCTGAAGGTCACCCCTGTTTGCACCCTTGAGGATCTTCTCCTTGACCGGTATCAGGATAAACATGCTGCGCTCAAGGCTAGACTGAAGCTCGAGGCCCTCAAGGGCCAAACATGGAGGTCATCCATGCAGGCTTTGGAACAACACTTGACTGGTCT